GCCTTGACCAGTAAAAAGGGGCAGTCAGGAAACGCTTAGGAAATGCAGTTAGTAAGCCGGGTGTATTTGTATAGGGGAGGATAACAAGAAATAAATGTTTGCCATCCAACTCACTGATAATTCTCTAAAATCTCAAGTTCAGTATAACGTGTGACCTTCAACTTACGTCTAAGGCACACTTCACAGTGTAACTCCAACGTGATAACCAGATAAAGTGGTCTTCGCCTGGAGTCCCTTTCCGGGGGCTACTGCCGGTCCCAATCCCGGACAAAGGAGGAGGGTTGGGCATGGGGTTAGCGACCCCATCCCGTAGAAAACTAACTCGCTAAATAACGCTAACCAGAAAAAATTATTCAAACCATTTAAACTCTGTCCTGGGAGTCAGGAGGTCTTCGTTTAGAAGAATTATGACGCCTCATGATGAAAGCCGAGTTTCTTCGGAAGTCACGAGGCCGATGCCCCTTCTGACAACCAAAGCAACCATTTATTTAGGTACATGAAATGCTTGTACAATGTGGGAGACTGGGAGAGTTTTCCAAATTGTTGCAGAAATGAGGAGATACAATTTAGAGGTGCTTGGGATCAGTGAAACACATTGGACGCAAGTTGTACAACAACGACTAGCTTCAGGGGAGCTGCTGTTATACTCCGGACATGAACAAGAAAATGCTCCACATACACAAGGAGTTGCATTGATGCTGTTCAAACAAGCACAAAATGAACTTATAGGATGGGAATCTCATGGACCAAGGATCGTCAAAGCCTCCTTCAAAACAAAGAAAACGGGGATTACAATGAACGTCATCCAATGCTACGCGCCTACCAATGACTACAATGAAGACGCTAAAGATCAATTCTACGATAGGCTGCAGTCAATCGTCGAGAAGTGCCCAACAAAAGACCTGACTATTCTGATGGGAGACCTAAATGCCAAGGTTGGAATTGACAACACAGGATATGAAGAGATCATGAGACGATACGGACTCGGAGAAAGGAACGAAAATGGTGAGAGATTTGCAAATCTATGTGCCTTCAATAAACTGGTCATTGGCGGGACTATATTCCCACATAAACGCATACATAAAACCACATGGACTTCACTGGATTACACCACACAGAACCAAATCGACCATATCTGTATCAACAAAAAGTTCAGGAGGACGATAGAGGACGTGAGAACAAAGAGAGGAGCTGATACAGCATCAGATCATCACTTGCTGTTCGTCAAGATGAAATTGAAACTCAAGAGGCACTGGACAACGGTGAGGACAATATCACAAAAATTTAATTCGGGATAATGACAAACTCAATAAATTCAAGATAACCCTCAGCAATAAGTTCCAAACCTTTCATGATCTACTCAGTGGAGAAGAAACTACTATGGAGAGCAACTGAAAAGAGATAAAAGAGGAAATCACTTCAACATGTCATGAGGTTCTGGGCCAAAAGAAGCACTATCACATGGATTGGACCACTGTTGATACACTGGATAAGATTCAAGAAAGGAGGAACAAGAAAGCAGCAATCAATACCAGTCGAACAAGAGCAGAAAAAGTCAAGGCACAGGCTGAATACACAGAAGTAAACAAGCAAGTGAAAAGGAGCATCAGAACTGACAAACGTAAATATGTGGAAGATTTGGCATTGACGGCAAAAAAGGCTGCCAGAGAAGGAAACATGAGACAACTGTATGAAACAACAAAGAAACTCTCTGGAAATCACCGTAGACCAGAACGACCAGTGAAAAACAAGGAAGGCAAAGTAATCACCAACATTGAAGAACAGCAAAACGGGTGGGTAGAACACTTCAAAGAACTCTTGAATCGACCAGCCCCACTGAACCCACCCAACATCGAAGCAGCACTCACGGACCTCCCAATTGATGTTGGCGCACCAACAATTGAAGAAATCAGCATGGCTATCAGACAAATCAAGAGTGGCAAAGCAGCAGGACTAGACAGCATTCCAGCAGAGGCACTGAAAGCAGATGTAGTAGCAACTGCAAGGATACTCCAAACTCTCTTCAGAAAGATCTGGGATGAGGAACAGGTACCAAAAGACTGGAAAGAAGGACTTCTAGTCAAAATACCAAAGAAAGGCGATCTCAGCAACTGTGACAACTACAGGGGAATCACTCTTCTTTCAATACCAGGAAAAGTCTTCAACAGGGTATTGTTAAACAGGATGAAGGACTGCGTAGACGCACAACTTCGCGACCAACAGGCAGGATTCCGTAAGGATAGATCGTGCACAGACCAAATCGCAACTCTACGGATCATTGTGGAACAATCAATTGAATGGAATTCATCACTCTATATCAACTTCATTGACTACGATAAAGCATTTGATAGCGTGGACAGAACAACCCTATGGAAGATTCTTCGACACTACGGTGTGCCTCAGAAGATAGTCAATGTCATACGGAATCCCTACGATGGATTAGACTGCAAAATCGTGCATGGAGGATAGTCAACAGACTCGTTCGAAGTGAAGACCGGTGTCAGGCAAGGTTGCTTTCTCTTACCCTTTTTCTTTCTCCTGGTGATCGACTGGATCATGAAGACTTCAACATCTGAAGGGAAGCACGGAATACAGTGGCCAGCTAGGATGCAATTGGATGATCTAGACTTCGCAGATGATCTGGCTCTTCTATCGCATACACAACAACAAATGCAGGAGAAGACAACCAGTGTAGCTGCAGCCTCAGCAGCAATAGGTCTCAATATACACAAAGGAAAAAGCAAGATTCTTCGATACAACACAGCATGCACCAATCCAATCACAATTGAGGGAGAAGCTTTGGAAGATGTACAAACCTTTACATATTTGGGCAGTATCATCGATGAACACGGTGGATCTGATGCAGATGTGAAGGCAAGGATCGGCAAAGCAAGAGCAGCATTTTACAACTGAAGAATATCTGGAACTCAAAACAATTGGCAACCAACACTAAAGTCAGAATTTTCAATACAAATGTCAAATCGGTTCTACTCTAAGGAGGGTGGAAACCTGGAAAACTACGAAATCCATCATCCAAAAGATACAGATGTTTATTAACAGTTGTCTACGCAAAATACTTCAGATCCACTGGCCGGACACTATAAGCAACAACCTACTGTGGGAGAGAACAAGACAAGCCCTCATATGGAATCCTCAAGGTCGAAGGAGGAGAGGAAGACCAAAGAATACATTACGCCGAGAAATGGAGACAGACATGAGAAAAATGAACAAGAATTGGATGGAACTAGAAAAGAAGGCCCAGGACAGAGTGGGTTGGAGAATGCTGGTCGGCGGCCTATGCTCCATTGGGAGTAACAGGCGTAAGTAAGTAAGTAAGTTTTTGACTAGCTAGAATGAACAGAACATCACCAAATTAACATAGGTTATGGAGGAAAACAGTCTACAGAAATGTGAAGTAACACCAATGACGTACAGGCTGGTCCATGGATTGCCATCGATCGATTAAAATTATCCGTCTCCAAACCTGACGATGTTTGACGATGCATTCAAATCCTAGTTACCTGTCGTCTAACGTAGAAATTGTTCATCTCAGTGAAATGAACTGGGTGCAATCCTACAACAGGAGTACAGTGAAAAGTTTACTGAGGATACTGTAGAATACCCAGAAACCTTATATTCGTGCATAAAACACTGAATTGAGATATAATATTATTTGCCAGGAGTTAAGTATCTAGGTGAGAACTTGGTTTCCTCTGAAATGTAGAATGTGTTTAGTACAGGATATTCATTTCTCACGAACTTATTAGTTACATGGGAAAGTTGTTGCACTTTGAAACATCAGAAGCTATCCACAGATGCAAGCTTGATTGACTTTAGTAAGGTTTTTCACGAAATCTCTTATAACACATAGTTATACAAGCATCACAGGGATCGGCAGGTGACGTACTTACATGGATGAGTAATTGTCTACAAAGAGTTTGGGTCAACTTCAAGTCATCTAACCGTAAGATTGTGCTCAGTGAAGTACACGAGCAGTTTACTTGGGATTCATTGTTAGTCATGCCTTGAAGCATCTACACGTCGCTGCACAATGGCTTTCTAAAATTATGAAAGTCTCTAGTCAATTAATAGGGCCTTTAAATAAGTAGATGTTTAGGTCTTTTGGACTTCGTTTACCGTACTTGTTGAACCTATAAATGAGTATTACATCTAAACACACAGACCGTAATTAAAAAAGACAGTGGAGTGATGGAAAAGATTCAAAGGATTCTAGCCAATTTGATTTCAATAATCGCAAATCTGTCGGAAGATCAAGAACTAGTTAAAGTAAACCTATACCCCGGCCATACAAAAGAACTTGTAACGGTAAATAAATCCCACAAACCAGCAGCTTTGTAAATCTCCGACATTTTACGATGACATCATTAGTTTTTATGGACTCACCGAGCTGCAGGCGCTCAGTCGTGCATCCGCACTAGACCACGAGTGATTACGCCGTGCTTCATTTCTCCTACAACCGTCAACCAGCTTAGATTTGTCGTTTCTTTATATAATGATATTCTATCAAATATATTTTCTAGCGCCTTTGCTTTTGACTACTGAATTCACTGGGTCAGCATGTTTCGGTGTTGTCAGTGTTGTCAAACTCCGAATGAGTGTGGCATCTTTAGACTAGAAGTGACCTGACAGGTCTCTAAGTTGTTTCATGATATCTTCGCATATGACATGCCATAATTTTCTATGTCCCTCAAAACATAAAATGTACTAGCCCACTTCAAAAGTTCTAAATCATGAGAGCAAATCACTTGTAAACGAACCGTCAGGCACTGGAACTCTGTAACTTATTATGTGGTCGGAGACTTATCTTTCGACGTTCACAAAGAAAATTCCAATCAACCGAGAGACCTCAATCTCAACAATGAACGTAGAGTATCCAGCCCCTTGTCCGTCATTAGCACTGTTTGCAATTGTACATATAATCTCGATGTCCTAGCGTGTAGTACAAAAGATTCGTTGTGTCTTCAAGGCCACTCTGTTCAATGAGCCGATTGATATGGCCTTATTACACTTGTACTTTTTTTAGGAAACAGCCTCAATACGGCCTAAAGTTATGGTATCGATATTTCATACCTGATTCATATGCTTCGGTTGATATTTGGAACGCTCGGCTGTCTAATGATATTTTCCGAGATATTTCAGTTCGTAAGTCCCACAGCAAAATTCCTAAAACCCATAGGTGATCATGGTTTAAAAATACTGCAAAAGATTAATTCTGGAAAAGTCGTGTCACCACTGGACTATGACATAGTAAACCCTTATTATCTATTAATTATTTTAATAATAGTTCGCAAATAAACTAAATGAACTAGATGTAACGTCCTTAGATTTTGTCGAAGAAGTCATCATGAGGTTTGGTGCTCGCTTCCTTACTTACATTAAAGCTATATGAATACTCAAGCTGCGGTCGACGTAAGGGATTCAACATCTCATGCGTTTATTCGAGGTTATTTGAATTTCCGAGAAGCTGACAGACTACTAAAATTAATCGAATGTAGAGTATGAAGATTTTGAACTGCTTAATGTTTAGTCAAAAACAGGAATCTTTGTAGATTTTGCCTCTGCAATTCTCATGATGGACGTGTTTTTACGAAAACGTGAATGGAATTCTGCCATTGCAGTTTCATGGGAACTCTGCCTTCAGGAATATTTCAGCTTAGAGAATGTTAGACCCCTTGTTCTTGCTACTTCACTTTTTTCATGCATGAAGTCAATAGAACATGATTCGTACGTAGTCAAAGAATCTGAACCGGCGGATGACAAAGAGGTAAGGCATCAGATTTGTAAATAAAAACTCCGTTTGAGAAAGTTCTATTAGGAATAGCCCCCTTTTAAATTATGTGAAGAAAAGTTGATGAATAGTAATAAGGTTTGTTAGATTCTAGTATGCATTAGTGCTGATAAGTATATTGGTTGTACCACTTTTCTAATCTCCGACTGACATCGGGTTTTCTGGCATTCATTGTTCATTAGAAATAACAAACCAGATGCTATCTATGTAATAACTTGCTAGCTCAAATATTAGATAAAAATGGGTTTCTCATAAACGATAAAGCTTTTTCAAAGACTAAAGTTGTAAGTACAAAGACTATAAGTAATCGCTTTAGTGCATAGTTACCCTAACTAGATTAGTTTTCAAGGCGATTAAACTTGTTAAGGGCATCGTCCATTGTAAGTTCTCTAGTAGTGATGACTTCACCTGCCTCGGTTTGGGCGCCCCGGCCGGTATTCTAGCCCTCACACAAATCGAATGACGAAGTGTGGCGCATATATATTTGGTACCTTTTTGTACTAATGATGTTGTGTTCAAATTAGTAAATAGCTATAAAATTTGGATAAGAGTTCCGACTTGTTTCTTTTCACAAATACTCCTAGCGACAGAGTTAGAAGGCACCGTCACCTGACAAACACATAATTTTCTAACTTGTGGATTTATCTATTTTTTTGGTGGCTTGTGGTACTATGCGTGTTTATCAAGTAGCTAGTAAGATCATGTTTTTTTTTTCAAAAATCATGTACGTATGTGCAAAGTGAAACTGAATAGATAGTTACCGTAATATAACCGTAATAGTCACTATAATTTGGCTAATTGCAAACGAAGTAATCCGATAACATTACTAATCCCCACGTAAAAATCTGGTTTATAACCGAATACATGATACCATAATTTATAATTGAGTTACAGTACCAATATTGTTTCGTCAACAACCGCTTAGTTGAAGCCTTTTGTTTTTATTCGATACTCCCACTCTTACTAGTTCATACAAATTCACCTCAGGTTTCAGAAAGACAAGATGTGAAAGTTAGATGCATTCTCTCACATCACAGGGGGATTCCTAAAAACTGGTAACTCTCAGTTCAGTTAAATTTACCTCTAAATTATATCTCTATAAATTTCATCTCTTTCAACCCTGATGACATTACTATGTAATTGTTCCTGTTTTTCAGATTGAACAAAAATTGGTTCCTTATGTTAGAAACCCAAACTATGATAACTTTTTCGATATAAAGCACCCTAAGTTGAAGACTGGTTATACGCTTTTGCATTTGTCTCATGTACTAAACAGTCGATGCTCACTTTTTCAAACTACTCCAGTATGGAATAGCCTATCTAAATATGTGGATAGTTTTCGTTTAATGATGAGAATTTTCGGACTTGCTCTTTCTGAACAGTGCAACAAATTATTAGTTGAACTGAGAAAAATTGATGAGTCAGCAATACAGTTAGGAGGATTCGACCCTATTGTGGTAAGTGTCGTCATTTCAACGATTTAAATATATCAATATAACAATTTGTAGACGGAAAAGTTAATAAGGATTGTTGATAATTGTGAAACCCGATCCGATGACTCGTCTCTAAAGCCAGGAGAACCGCAGCTCCCAAGCGTATCAGATGTAAAATCAGTGCAGAATGAACTTGTGGTAAGCAAGTTAACACCTATATCTAGTTATATTTTAGCGTGTTCAGTGTGGATCACAATGCACCACACCAAACTTTTTTAAAGTGGCCGAAGAGTTTATCTTCAATGGAGTAATTAATAACTCAGACTGCATGAAGCAGGAATTAGAGGCAGTTTCTGACTTGTATAGTAAATTTGATGAAGAACGAAGAAAAGAATACACTGAGGCTGTCAAAATGCAAAAATTTGAAGAAGTTATTGAAAAAACCAAAGAAAAGTTAAAAGAAATCCTAGATAAAGAGGAACAAATAACATACTTCCAGAATAGTACGAAAATAATAAAGGATGCGTGGTTAGCACCCCGAACACGTCAAGAAGCTCGTTGGTCAAGACTAAAGGAGTGGAGAAGTGAGATTTCTTCTCAAAGACAAAAGCAGAATAGTTCACCTGTTCAATGAATGTAAAACTGTATATATATATATATATATATGTACTTGTAATAGTAATACGTTTATTTACGAAATTGATTGATGTACATCGTATTAGTTACCCAATATTATTACCTCCATGATGTAGATGTACAGATGCACCAGTTTTCTAATGGAAGCTTTGGTTGATAGGTATTTAAAGTTAGAAGTAATTATCAGAATAAACTACGAACTTTCTAATCATAGTTCATGGTGTGATATTGTAATATTCTCTAAAGAGCTGTAGCTTGAAGGACAATGCAATTAGAAAGCTTTCTTTACATAAATATCACCTATACCATGTAACTGTGGACCAAGCTTAATTGTTTTTAACTAGTGGGAGGAATCACTTCACACTGATAATTACAATACGTGTACACAAACCCAGTTAGTTATGTTCCAGGTTACATCCGCCTCATAAAGTGAGCTCTTTCGAAACGTATTACTTAGTCAGTATATCCAAAGAAGTATCTTAGTCAAACAATAACTCAATTCCAGAACCCGTTTTAAATTCTGATCACATTGCGCAGCTAGAATGCGTGTATAAGTCATCCATGCAACCAAACAAATATCGTCAAAGGGAGTATAACGGATCATAGATGTGAGTGTTATCCTTCAGTAAGAACTGGTAGTAAAAAGACTTGGTATTGCTACGAAATATTACCATTAATATATTGAATGGCTCAACATAATAAATCGAAAATCGACAACAAAAGCGCGATTTATTAGCAAAGTGTAGGTGTGAATATTACTTATATTTGTAGACTTATATAACACATTTAGATGTCTAAATGTGCGAATTCAAATTGTGCATCGTTCTACATAAATCTTGTAGTATCGATCTGTTTTCATATTCGTTTACGCCCAGTTTATTATGTAGTGCTACTTCCTTCTTACTTGCCATTGCTCTATCCCTATAACGAACTGTCTGATTTCCAGTTCATTTTTGGGAGCATCAACGAATTTCTGTGTTTGGATGAGTGACTCCACTGAATGTTCATAATGATTTATGGCGACTCATAGATTTAAAGTAGGGCTTAGTGTGCTCGATTTGTTGATAGTGCGCACGAACGGATTCGTATTTTCGTCTTTCTGCTGCTAACCGAACAAATAATGGTATTGGAATTCATAACATGAATTGTGTAGAGCTGAACAAAAAAGCGGTGAGGTCCTGAATGTTTCATCGACATACCAATGGTGATATCTCCCTAATTATTTCGGATTAGAATTCGATTTTTACTCAGTCTAACATCATATAGAAAGGAATTCTTTCTCAGTCGTCTTGTATTTGGACATCAGATTTAGACTCAATGAAATTTGGTGTGATAAAGGCACCTAGTAGTCATATACGCATTGAACTATGTTTCATTAAAAATACTGCTGGAGACTGAGCTAATGTTGCATAAGAACAACCAGAAAATACAATAGCTACGATTTAGTCTGTCACTTATGTTTATTAAGTAGCTCATTCTTTAATTCAGTTGATTACGTTTTTCACTCTCACTTTAGTTTTATCTGGAGCATGACTGTATTCCGTTGTCTCTTTTGTAATTAATTCGTACTTCGTGTGGTATGACGTAGACTACTGTATGATTTTCTGTTTATCCCTAAATCTTTTTATTATTATTCACGTTTTTTATGAAGGTGTAGCCATTCATTAGCATAACTCAGCACCCTTGTTACATTTCATAAATTCTCATTCCATTCTGATGACGCATAAAAAAGTAACATGGAATATAGTTTATTGCCTTTATGTAAAATTATATAATCTCAACTTTTAATCGAATAATATACCTAAAATAAATAAATGCAGATTTACTTTTTATATAATTGCGCTTAATCCAACTAATTGATCGTGGTTTGGCCTAATATCTGAATTCGATGTCACTTGCAAATTTACCTACTACTGAATTGGATGATTTTAAAATGAACTGCTAGTTATTTTTTATTCGATCGTCCTTATTAACGTTCTCATCTTGTTTTATTGTATTTAGGAAGTCAATATATTAGTAGCATTATTTTACCAGGTCAGTAAATCGCTCTTATCGAGACGAGTATAATGTTTGTGGTTATTTACAAATTCCCGCATTTTTCCGTTGCTGGTATTCATGATTAGATTTTACCATACCCATTAAAAGAGTCGATGGCTATCTGAATTGAACAGCTTAGAGCATAGCGCGTCGAAGCTTAAAGTGATTTACAACGTTCGTGTCTTTGTATAGACAACCTTGCGATAAATGTGTGTTTATGCAATTAGTCCTAAATAGTACGAAAGTACACCACGTATCCCGCTACTAGCAACTATTTAAAGTTGTGATAAATAATTTTATTCGCCAAGTTTCACAATAAGCTGTGATTATTGCTCGTATAAACTTCTCTGAAATTCGAATATGTAAACAGTCTTAGTGCGTGCATTAAATATATCCTAAATGTATAAATCGTGTTCAACGGTCATTGAGATTAGTCGTCTGATTTGCTTCAAACTGACTGAATTAATAATCTTGTCAAAATTATCTGAAGCAACACGTAATGGTTCATGTCTCTAAATAAGAATATGAGTGAGATAAAACGCTACCTCTAATTAGGATATATTCAGTTTATGTTACCATATGAAGGTAGATATCACTTCAAATGTAACTACATGAATAAAAGTGACTTATTGTTTCATGTTATAGATGTTTACCACCTGCGGAATGACCAACGTGTGGAAGAAGTGCTATAACAGTTGTTTTACAACGTATACAATCTAAACCTCACATTTTTTAAACTACTTGGAATCCCTCCGTTATGCTTAAAATATCTTAATCATTCCAAAGACAGTGAAATGTTTTTGATGCCTGCTTTCTATAAAAAAATCAATCTAAATAATATCATACGGTGTAGATCTGATAAAGAGGTGAATTGACCGCAGCTCGAAATAAAGTCATTAAATCTTGACTGAATGGCATTATACTCACCGTAAGATATGAGTGTTCTACTATAAAACTACTAATAACCTCCCTGAGTAACATCACTCTATAATTAAAAGTTACCTTAAAATCACCCAAAATGCTTGCAAGATCATATCAGTAAATTATTTATTCTTGTTAAATACTACCCTACTTTGGCTGTATTTTACTGTTCTAGATAATTCTTTACTGCAAAGTATATCACTGAATATAGTGTTTATGCTAATCATTTGTAATTACATCATGATGATCAGTTTTTTTGGAATTCACACCATAAGCTATAATATATGACACGAATTTACAAGCTTCCATCTGAATTCCTAGAGGGAAAATGAATGGGTCAGAATCAAAAATTTTATTACAACTTGTTTGTAAAATTTTATATTTTGAACATCAGAAAACTTCAACAGGGGTCTCCGTTGTCGCAAATTATGTTGTATGAGAAGCGGTTACGAATTGCTAGTAGTTCCTCTGGAAGTCAAGTTCTTCCCAGCAAGGTTATTCCATGTAAATTTAGAAACCTTGAGTTTATTATTAATAAATAAATTCATAGTTGAGATAATTAGCATGTTGACGCACGATGTAGTTTGTAGCGTTTATTTCATCTATATATCTGACTCCAATAAATAATATCTTGTTAACTGAGTATTTACACACGCCAATCTCCTAGTAGTTCTATAAATTTACTAGAGATTATTTAAAAGCTAAAACACCAGTTGTGAGAATCGTGTATTCCTAATAATTGATGAAATTCGCAAGCACACAGGGAAGCGAGTGTGTATGAGTGCTAATCGATTGTAGATAGATTATTGCTTATCTGTGATTACAACTAATGGGAGAGTAGATAGATGAGATATACAGGCGTGCATTTAATCAGACTCGCACATAGTTTTACATAGTCGGTCGAATGTTTAAATTACAGAAAATAGACATAGTAATTATTCAGTGGGTTAACTATGTAAGCTCCCATCCAGAACATTGATGTTTTTTAACATCTATGTTCGACAAAGAGATAAAAAGTTGTTTTTGAAATAAATATGCAACTTGATGTGAGTGTTAGGTTGAAATAATAGCTTGTATGTGTTGAAACATGTACATACATAGCATCAATCGATTGCATGGAGTTAAAAAGTGGAAATAATGAAAATCCGTGGAGCCAATAGAGAATACTTACATCTGTTGCCTCTCATGATGGGGCATAGGTGGTCCATCAGAATTCTCCACCCAACTCTGTCCTGGGCAATCCTTCCTGGTTACTATTCATCCTTTTCATATCTGCTTTCAATTCCTGACGTAGTGTGTTATTTGAACATCGTTTTTTCCATTTCCCTTCAGGATTTCAAGTTAGGGATTGCCTCATGATGCAGTTTGATGGTTTCAGTAATGTATGCCCCAACCACCACTTCCATCGTCTTTTTTTAATTTCCTCCTCAGATGGAGGAGGAAAACATCAGCAACAGCCTACTGTGGCTGTAAAGGTCAATAACAAATGGAACAACTAGGTATGTATGATTCACAATACAATGATTGTACATTAGATAAAACAACTATTACACGAATACCTCGTATTTAAAATATTGAAGGCTTTTAGATTTCATTATTTTTAACTGTACTTTTCTTTTTGATATTTCACTATGTGAAAACTATGATATGTATATAGAACGGATCAAGGTAATGAAGGAATAAACATTTACTTTTCAATCTGTTGTCCTATTAGTTAACTAATTTATGAATATTCTGTGAGTAGATACAATATTGGACAACCATACATATGAAAACAGTTTCAGTTTGGAAAGGACAGGAGGCTTGATGGCTTGTGTTAGTCCTGGCAATTGTGTTCTCTCAGTTGATCCAACTTTCTTTTAAAGGGATCTACAGATGGAGCTTCAACCACGTGTTGAGGTAATGAATTCCACTCGTTGATGATTCGATGGGAAAGTCGATAATCAGCCGACAAGCAATTTGTTCTGAGCTTGTGAATTTTTTTGGAGTGCCCTCGTAAATTCCCCGTTTTGGAAGACAAGAAAAATGAGGGTGCAAATT